AGATGCCCTGTGGAAAGGCTGCTTGCCATGCGAGGAACAAGCAGCAAAAGCAGTGCGTTTCTAAGACAAGGGCAAGGGGCTGAGAAAAAATGATCAGGCAAGATTTTAGCTCTCAGGTGAGGGTGACTGGCTAAGACCTAGAAATGAGTGGGCAAACACGTGTCACCCTAACGGCTAACTCACATGTGGTGAGAGGTGCTTGGAACTCAGGGTCGAGCAGGACTGTCACCCCTGACTTCAGTCTTCTCAGGGACTCGAGAGGAATGTGATTTGATGTTGGCAGGTGGTTCAGCCAAGTCCTAAACATATATCTCATGTTCAGCACTGGCCCCTGGAAATCAGAACAGGACCAAGGTGACCTCGATGATAGGAGAACAATCTCAGACTATTTCCAAACCAGAGACTGACTGTCTCCCTCTCCCCTGTAGAGGAGGCCATGTCCTCTCAACTACTGGGGTTATTCTGCCTCTGGAGAAGTCCAACTCGCCTAGTTTTGTAACTTCTATGGTTCTGAAAGACTAGAGATTTTAGAGTTTTTATGTCATGTCACCCATTTGTTTAAAGGCAAATAAATTCCTACAGGGTCAAGCTTAAAGCCTGGGGCAGAGCACACTACTCACTTGTCAAGCAGGACCTAAGGCCTCAGCAACTTCACCCCTGCTCCTCGAGCTCCCACCACACTGCACTTCTCACCACTCCCAGAACAAGCTGGGCCTTTCCACGTGCTGTGCTGGCTCCTTCCACGCTCCCCACAAGGTGAACTCTACACAATCTTCATGGCCTACCTTGAGCATCACCCAGCTCTGTGCTCTTCCGGACTTTCCCCAGAACTTCAGTGCTCCCCATGGCCCAGGAGAATGTGCACTTCCGTCTTTACAATAAAGACTTATTTTATAATACTTAAATGGTTTGTCTCCCTCCTGTTTTCTAGTGTCTGCTTCAACCTTGCATTGCATTTGCAACCAAGTACATGCTCTGTACAACTATACAAATGTAGGTGAACGATGGCGAAGCACTGACATAGCTAACCGCCTCTTCTTAGAGTGAGTCTTCTGAGAGGAATTAGGTTGGTGTTTAGAATTTCAAGGGAAACAGTCGGTACCTGACACATTGAGGTGGTGATGTGTGCCCCGAGTGGGGCAGCCTGCCTCTCTAACCTGCTATTACAGGATTGCCAGCGGACTGTTCTGAAGATCTTCTATTGACTGTGAATAGTCAACCCAGGAGGGGAAAGTCCCTCTGCAGAGTTCTGCTGGCTAAATTCAACCCCACAACTATTTCTGTCTTAAGCAGGAATAGTTAATGCCATTAGAAATTAAGATAAAAAGAAAGAATCCTCTGTCTTTATAGACTAATAATTGAAACCTGCTTCAGAAGACCACCCATGGTTTCAGAGAAAGTGGTTTTGCTGGTTAAGTTTTCAAAATTTGAGTCTTTTGGAGAGGCTAATTTGAACGCAGCCATAAATCACACTACCTCAAATGCCACTTGTGGTTTATGAAAGGACCTGACCCTGGCCTGCTTAATCTCTATAGTAGAAACCTCGTGACCTCCCTCTGGCTGAAATGTGACATAACCAACATTACTGTGACCTGGTGACTTGATTCAGTATAATTACATCTCTAGAACCACATACCAGGTCTTACTGAAATTTCTTAGATATTATGGAAGATGGAAATTCTCAGACTGCTGTTTAGTTTCAAGATGACTGAACCATAAATTTAAGCTGTATTTACATACTTTATTGGGTGCCAAATACATTTTTAAAAAATCAGAGAATATTTTTTTCAAGTTAAAATGGGACAAATAGATAAATTCAGAATGACAGTAGCCAACTGCAAAGAGACCTTAATAATAGTGGTAATAATGAAACTATGTCAGTACTTTCAAACAGGGGACTGACTGTCCCCTGTTCTATGTGACTACAGAATACTTCAGACCTCCTGTTAGAACCTCATAAGCTTCGAGTTACTTTTCTCAGAGAGTTGTTGGTACTCATAAGCTCAGTCAGTCTGCACAGACACCAGAAAAGTCTAATGAGCCAAGGGGCTGGCGTGTAGATGGGGGTTGGGAGGGGGCAAGAGGCTAGTGAATGTCCTTCCCTCATGGAATCCAGTGTCATTTAACACCACAGACTAGCCAGTGCGAGAATACGGTGTCACTTTTAACCCCATTTTTTTTTTTCCAGGAATTTTCAAGTCCTCTCTTAAAATTGAATAATAGCTTTAAGAGCTTTACTGAGGGGAGAGAAGGGAAGGAAGCAAGGGATTGAGAAACAAAGAAGCTGGGAAGGAAAAAGAAACTCTTGCAGTGACCGGTGCTGCTGTGTGGAAGTTTCTTCCTTTCTTTAGTCCACTCCTCTGCAGGAGAACACCTTACTGACCTCCGAAAAGAATGAATATAAAACTTCTTTAGTTCTTTCCCTCTTTGTGCCATAAAATGAAGCAAAAAAAAAAAAAAGAGATCATAATAAAATCTTGATACCAAGGCTTCTCAAATATCTCAGAGCATTTTTCAATAGCTTGATATGCCTGAGAGATAGAACCAGGTCACTAGCAAGGATTTCAAGTCTCCCTCATAAAGCTGAGGGGCCACAGAGGGTTCTCCCAGAAGGATCAGAACTTAGTGATACCCGCACAGGGAGAGCAGGAGGGGAAAACGTATCCACACTCACACCAGCAATCATTTTCTCACTAGACATGTAAATAAGAATACCAGGTAACAATTTTATTCACAAATAAAAAAAGGTATTATAAAACTATTTGTATAAGAAAACGAAAATTTACAAATTTATAAATTCCAGTATGCAAAATAGTAATGTTGAACTCTAAAGTGATTCAAGCTGACTACCTTAAAGCAATGATGGATTTTTTTCCTTTTCATTTGTTTTTTTTTTTTACTAGCACAGACAATAGTGCTTAACCTAGGTAATAGCAACATTAACACTTCATCTAAAGTAGAAAGACCTATATTTGAAAAATATATTCCATATACAGAAAACTAGAAAACCCTTGGCTTTATGTGGTTGCTCTCCCAATCCTTGTCTCGTGCTTGTCGACGAGCTTCTGCAGCGGTCACCAGCCTGTTATTACCTGGTGGTGATTTCCTGGCATTGGCACTCTAGCAGCTGAGTTCATTTGAGTGCTGTCGGACATTCCAACAATGTGAAATGCAAATTGGATTTTTTTCTTAAGTGTTTACAAAAAGTGTAAAAACTTTACAAAAAACATCCCTGTATGTTTCTATAGTAGGTGGTGGTAAAACGTCTTCATCTTGATAAATATAACCCAGGATTTTTCAAATGCAGTATCAAATGAGATTGACTTTCAACACTAAGTATTTCTCTACTGATCAAAAGTGATCATTCAGGATTTTTGGCCAAAGTCTCATTCCCATTGATCTACTTTTCTCCAGCAAGTATTTGTCTTTGAAGTGAATGAGGGCTCTACATATGGAAAATGTATCCAGGTTACAAAGAGGAGCACACCACTGGCCTACTTTGATCATCTTCTGTCATAACAAAAATGATCAGGCTGCAAACAATGGCACACACATGTGAAGCACAGTGAAGCCACTTAAGGAAATGTGCATTTTCATAGACATTTTGTGGTCATATCCTAAATATTTTACATGAGTTTCCTAAAGGCAAGTCTCATAAGAGTTGGTGAGTACCCAAGTTTAAGAACCAACGGTTTAGGGCCGGCCCCGTGGCTTAGCGGTTAAGTGCGTGCGCTCCACTGCTAGCGGCCCGGGTTCGGATCCCGGGCAGGCACCGACGCACCGCTTCTCCGACCATGCTGAGGCCGCGTCCCACATACAGCAACTAGAAGGATGTGCAGCTATGACACAACTATCTACTGTGGCTTTGGGGGGAAAAAATAAAATAAATAAAATCTTTAAAAAAAAAAAAAAGAACCAACGGTTTATGCTAAAAAAAGGAAAAGAAAAAGTCAATCAGTTATGACTGGGCACTAGGTAGACACAAACGACTGTAGGTTACTATGAGACACTTTAATTTCCTATTGCAGTTATGTCAAGTGTTACGTAAAAAACACTGATTTGGGCAGGGCAATTCCAAAACAAAATACCTTAGTGTACGCTAACACAACGATGTTCCGAGGTCTGTTTCTTTTTTAAGTGCAAATGTGACAGAGCTAATGGTAATCAGTTAAAGGACAAAGGCCAGATCTGATCATGTAGGTTCAAATAGGAAAAAAATCAATTCCTCTCCAGGACATAAAGATTAAGAGCAAATGAGCTATCCAATACCTGGTTCGTGACTGAACTGGGGTCATTTTTGTCAGCTCTAGAGAGAACTCTGGTGCGTAAACACCAGGATGGAAAGGGATGGAGCATCTTCATAGAAGCACCACACTCTTAAATCCCCGCATCATGCGGCTAAGATAGGAGATTATGATGCTAACCAAGCTTACGAGATGGGAGGGAACACTATAATATCCTGGTCAAACTGCACTACAGCAATTACAGACTATTCACCTGAATGCCGCCTGCAAATCGTGCTTTTCCTTCTGGTTCTAGTATGCGGTGTTGTCTCATAAGACTACTTACCTGGTGTTATTTTTCAGTAGTAAGGGAACCTGATACATTGTAATTTCTAAAGCCTTTAATATAAGATACGATGCAAATAAAAGATCATTATTATAAATACCACTTTTCTATAATAGAGAAATTCTGGATGTTCTAAGCTCAGTCACAGGGACAGAAGTGACAAATGCTTCCATATCAACAGATTTTCACATGCTGATCTAGGATACGTGCATTAAGTGGTTTTCAACACAGGGTGATGGCCGGCCCTTTCCCAGCCACACTCCCCAACCCAGGCCTCTCAGCACCAGCTCCCACAGGTGTCCATGAGACAGGGGCTGAGGTCAGAAGTGTCGGTTCTGAAAAACACTTGTCTCCTCTGATTCCTAGTTAGGTCAGGTAACTTCATCGAATAAACCCAAGATTTAGGCAGGCAGTGTGAAGTCAATTCTAACCTCCTAAACTAATTAGTTAAGATGATGAAAAAGTGACCACCAAACAGAAACATTCATTTTTGAAACCATTTTACATAAAAACTAAGGTAAGTAATCTGACATTGACTTTCAGTAGGATAATTGGCCATATGAAATTATTTCTGGAAATAAAATGTAAATGAAAATTTATACTCTGGGTCTTCAGTCTTGCAAAACCACATTCACCATAAAAAGAAGAAAGAATGCATTTCTGTTTCTCGTTATATACCCATAATCTCGTAGACTGCAAACTTGACCCATCACTCTTTGAAGTCACGCTTGCAGCATAGAAGCTTCTTGTTTAGGAAAGACGCGAAGTATCATGAGTGCCTGGAGTCTTGTTATTTCTTGAGGTTTCAGCTTACAGCTGGTCTGGCTCAGAAGCAACTGGTTGAAAGGCTTAAAATGCCATCAGTTCAGTTCAGATTTATTTTTTCTCCCAGAAGCCATGCAAGGTCCAGACTGTGCTCAGTCCATAGGCCCAAGCAGAGGAGTGGGTGCCCTTTGGTTTCCATACGCGCGCTTCTGTTGCAGAAAGAAGCAAGTCCTTTAAGCTTCCTAAAACAGCAACAAAAGGAAAGCTTCAAACACAGTATCTCATAAATTAAAGCTGCTAAACTGTCACTGTAAAAAATTATGGCACCTGACTGTTACTAGTACACGTGAATTTAACAGCATATGGACAAGAAGCTCGTTAATGGTGTTCACATATCCAGGTACCCACGCATTCTGAGAATAAAGGTTTCATAACAACTCCTAGACACTCAATATTTGCAAATAGAACTTAAAAGATGATAATGTAACCCACAGCAAACAAAAGGCACTACAAAACGCTTCTTTTGCTGATTTTCAACCTCCTCCAAACATTTGAAGCTTGTTTCTGTGCTGCACTCCTTGAAAACATTTGTAGGTGAAGATCTTAGAATCTTTTAGTCTCTTCTTTAAAAGAACAGAGATAACGAATGAATAGCACCCACCGTTCCTTTTTTTGTGTGCGTGTGTGAGGAAGATTAGCCCTGAGCTAACATCTGTTGCCAATCCTCCTCTTTTTGCTGAGGAAGACTCGCCCTGAGCTAACATCTGTGCCCATCTTCCTCTACTTTATATGGGACGCCGCCACAGCATGGCTTGACAAGCTGTGCGTTGGTGCGTGCCCAGGATCCGAACCTGCGAACCCCGGGCCGCCGAAATGGAGCATGCACACTTAACTGCTATGCCACCAGGCCGGCTCCTAGCCCCTGCCATTCTTTTTTTTTGATGAGGAAATCTGGCCCTGAGCTAACATCTCTTGCCAATCCTCCTCTTTTTGCTGAGGAAGATTGGCCCTGAGCTAACATCTGTGCCCATCTTCCTCCATTTTTGTATGTGGGACGCTGCCACAGCATGGCTTGATGAGCGGTGCATTGGTCCACGCCTGGGATTTGAACCTGCGAACCCCGGGCCACTGAAGCGGAGTGCACGAACTTAACCACTATGCCACTGGGCTGGCCCCCAGCACCTGCCATTCTTAATCTTCGAATTTAAATCTTATGTTAAACTACTGGAGAAAGTTTAGAAATAGTTTGGGAATGAGATTTCTCTTATAATGATCTCCCAGAATACTCCTACTCTTCACAGGACAATGTCCTCAGCAAAGTGCAGCCGGTAGATGTGTCCTTTACACAGACGGGCAGCAGCCTCCTTCAGGAGGGGACAGGGCATTGACCAATTGTAAGTGAGCAAAACCCTCACTCATGCAGGAACTTCCAATAACTTATTTACTGCTAATTTGGCATTGGTGACATATCAGATAAGTTTATGGGAAAAATTTTTTTCCCTAGGTCTAAGGAGATTATCTGGAAATAGAAGCTTCTGAAGTACTCTCAATGAGAGAGTTTTATCAAATATGTTGATCAACTGATATAATAATAACCACATCAACCCTACTGGGGGAGGCAAATTATACTCATTTTGCCGATAAGGAAAAAATAGAGATTATTAATACACTGAGAAACTAGAACACGGGTCATCTCATATCTTTTCTACCATCTCTTCCATTATTTCATGTTGACATTTAAAATGTTGGTTAAAAAACACCACCAAAAAAAGCTTTTCCTGTAAGTAAACAGGCTGGCTTCATTCTTCCAAATATCTTAACAAATGATGCCCCAAACATCTTAGTTCTGTTCCCTTCTGGGGAGGTGTGTATAGGGAAAATTTGATTAAAATTGAGCCATACAGACTAAAGAAGGTTCTCACACCTATTTGCTTTATCCTGAACCATAACTATCATTATCAGATCCTAGGTGGTCTTAAATCAGCCACAAGAAAACTACTGAGTAAAAATACAGTTTTTGGAAACAAATGCATTATGCATTAGAAATCTGAGCCTCACACCAAGTAAGACAAAAATAGCACTAAGCATTTCACAATGTATACGTGTGTCAAATCATCACATTGTACACCTTTAACTTACACAACGTTATACGTCAATTATATCTCAATAAAACTGGAAAAAAAAGGGAATAGAGGTTAAAAAACTGAAAATACAAGTGAATGCCTGGGTACGAAATTAAAGCTTCATTGAAAATAAAATAGATATAAATCACTTAAAACAAAGGAGGGCTATTACGGCTATTGCTGCCCTTATACATCTCCCAAACTGAAATACAATGCTTTCCAGAGGTCTGAATGAGCCCAGGCCAGGGAGCCAAGCTAACTACATTCGAACTTGAGGAACAGAAGTCCTTGACTTTGGTTCAGAATAGTAAGCTGCTGAAATCAAATTCTTTATGAGAAGTCAGTATGTTCTCTACCTTGGAGCATTCGCCTGTTAGGGAGAAGTCTGAAATACTTTTTGGAATCTAATGGACTGAAAAAACACCACCATTCCAGTTAGATACATGGCCGACCCTTGAAATCAAGAAGAGGGTCATCTCCCAAGGATGTGCAGCCGTGGCCACCTCCTATGTTCTTTTGAAGATTAAAGTGCATTCACTCAATTTCACACATTTAGTGAATGCAACTGAAGAGAAAGTGCTTTTCAGAATCTGGAAAAGATTATCTCTTAAAATGGGCTCAAAATATTATTTGCTGCTTTTAATTATAGGGAGAAGATCAAAATGATTTACATTTTAACAATTCCTTTCCTGAATTCAGAATGTTTTATTTAGATTTACCAAAATTATCTAATAATTATGAGATAACATCTTGGCAAGCTAACAAAAACCTTTCATTAATAAATTACATTGTGCAACCTGAATATAACATTTTCTCATTCATTTTATATGTATTATAACTTTCCATAATAATTTCAGTTGGAAGTATATTTATTAGCTCATAATTACCTTGACAACTGTCTTTGAAAAGGAATTAATGTCATTATACACCAATCTTATATACTAAACTATTTTACATTCTAAAATTTCACATTCATATAGCTGTAACCCCACCTCCACCTCACCAACAACATAAGCAGAAAAAGGTAGAGAATGAGTTCGTTCTGATATGATTTGGTATCAAGATGTTTCATTCCCCAGTCTCAGAATTTACATCACAAAAATGGGGACAAGCTACAAAATTAAAATGAGTGGTAACTCCATCTTCTGACAACACTCTGAAAAACCACAGTCAGCCAGTGGTAGCACAATCATTCTAGTTGCTCGACTTTCCCCTAACAGCAGATGTACAGAAAGATATAGTAGGCATTTATGAAGGCAACACAAGCAAGTTTATCATCAAAACCATTGACTTCAGCATCTTGGAATGAAAATGTGATTCGGATCTAATTTTCAGAGTCCTACGACTTTGATCTTAGAGTGCCTGGCAAGGACCCAATGGGGACGATGGGATTAGTTGCTGAAGGGGCTGGGGTCCCCCCGTCCTCTCACCTGTCCTCAGGGCCTGTTACCAGCTTCGTTCTCAGGCCCGAAGCTCTGTGGACCACACGGTCCAATCCTAAGACCTACATTCAACTAGGCTAACTCTTAAGTCTTATAATTATCATGAAAGTTATAACAATTATGGGATGACTCAAAAGAACAAGGTCAGGGAGCAGTCTTTCCCAGCTTCCGAGGGATGGATTCTATGTCTAATTTCTTTGTTTTTCCTCCCTTCACTTATCTCTTCTTCATTTCCTTTATTTTGAGGAAACCGACATTTTTTTTTCTTCCAAAGCCAAGAAATGTTTTCTGTATAGAATTCCCCGTAAATTCTCTATAGAATTTTCTTGTAGTTAAAAAAAATGCACTGCCGGGGCCGGCCCTGTGGCGTAGCGGTTAAGTGCGTGCGCTCCGCTGCTGGTGGCCCGGGTTCGGATCCCAGGCGCGCGCCAACTTACTGCTTGTCAGGCCATGCTGTGGGGGCGTCCCATATAAAGCAGAGCAAGATGGGCACGGATGTTAGCCCAGGGACAATCTTCCTCAGCAAAAAGAGGAGGACTGGCATGGATGTTAGCTTAGGGCTGATCTTCCTCACAAAAAAAAAAAAGGAAAACAAAGCACTGCCAATATAGATCAATATATAACTTATGCACTGTTCTTAAAAAGAACACAGCTCCATCCAAACTTTGACTTCAGACTATTTCTGATATAATTAGACAAGGATACAACACTCATGGAAATGCAGGTCCACTCAGGAGCACATGCAGCATGTCTCGGAGTGCTTCCCTAGGACCCAGGTCCCTGATTTGGGGCAGGGAGGGACAAGCTGTGAGAGCAAAACGCTGTCTGCGCAGGGCAGGCGCCTGTGGGGCTGGGAACCTCGCTGTTGCTGTGACTCTGCCCTTTTATACTCAAGGCTGGCATCATTCTTCCAGAAGAATGTATACCAACAATATATGTGCCTACATTAAGAAAACAGGTATAAATATTAAGTCAAATTCAGCAAAGACCACATCCTTGCCTGGAGGAGAGTGCAGGGCCAGCACCCAGGCATCCCTGGTGCGTCTCCGCCTCCCGCCTGGCAGCATGCCAGAAAGCCCCCTCCCCCGGCATCACCACCTCCTCCAAACCTGGTTTTAAACCCTTCTATCTAGAAGGTTCTTATGCTGCATTTGGTCCCAGATCACAACTGACAATCAATTTCCAACCAAAATGATCAACAAGTCCAAGCCGAGCGATCTAGAAAACAATAGTGAAGGAGCGAGGAGGGAGAGGAGTGGCTTCAGGACCCCAAACTTCTCGTTAACTTGAGAGGGAATTAAGCGTGTTTAAGTATTGGGCATAAGACTATCACGGGAAAATGACAGTGAGGAACTGTTTACAACAGGCTCCCATGATGACCCATCTCTCTCAGTCAGGAACAGAGCCAGGGGTGTGCTAAATCCATAGCTGGATTACTAAGAAGAATAAAAGAATGCAGCTGCCCTTTACGGCCTGACAGATTAGCTGTTAGCTAAAAAAAATACTCCTGAAATTTAATTTAAAATACATTCTCCTATAACATACAAGATGTTATGAAAGATGGAAAAACCTTCTCATCAGCCTCCCCACATTTTTTTTTTTTTTTTTTTTTGAGGAAGATTAGCCCTGAGCTAACATCTGTGCCAGTCTTCCTCTACTTTATATGTGGGTCACTGCCACAGCGTGGCTGATGAGTGGTGTAGGTGTGCACCCAGGATCCGAACCCGTGAACCTGGGCCGCCAAACCGGAGCATGCTGAACTTAACCAGTACACCACGGGGCCAGCCCCAGCTTCACCCACATTCTTGGTGGGACTGAGTTCGATTTCCTCTGGTCTTCCATAGGTCCATGCTATGTCCATTCTGAAACCAGTCTTTGTCTTACCTGGAGGGACGTCTGAGTGGTTAGGTTAATGATGTCGCCACTCTCTTGATCTAGCTGGCTTCTAGAAGTTAGTGTATCCTGGGTTAGCACTGGCTTTGTCAGTGAGTTGTTATGTCTAGATAAATCAGTAGTTGCTGCAAAGTTTTCATAATGAGCTTGAACTGGAACAGCTCCACCAGCCACATTCTGACTACTGTTTGAATCCAAGGATGACGAGCTTTCATTTTCTGGAGTGAGAGAATGAATATCTTCTCCAGCGAGTTCAGGATAAGAGTCACAAAAAGAGATGTTGTCACCACAAATGGGATTTTGCATCAGAGGCCAGGCATCTGAAAACTCGCCACAGATAGATCCGAAGAAAGTCGGCATTGTCTCTCCCACAGGACCTGCATTTCTGAACACATGTTCAAAAGATCTTCACGTATTCCATGGGGAGGAAAAACAAGACTACAAAGCAACATCCCAGCTATACTTTTAAGTTTTCTAGATGAAATAGCAGTTTATTAAATCAGAATTCTAGTGCTTCCTTTGTTATAAACTTCAAAACTATAAGTTAAATTATTCCATTTACTTTGAAACTGAATTTTTACACCTACTTCTAATCAATATAGTTATACTTAATCCAGTCTAAAACATGCAGTTTCCTGGGTCTTAACTGAGTTCCTCTGACTGATGTTCTAAAATTCTGTGAATATACAACATGTTAAAAAGTACTTACAGATGACAGAAGTGTCATAAATCATGAATAAGACAAAAATAAAACTAATAAAGCGTAAAGTATAAAAAATGTTGCATTGGATGTCAGTAACCCTGAGAGACTTACCTAATTCTTGCCAAAGATTTGTTCTCCTCCAATGTCCAGAATGTCATTAATAATATTAAAAAGTGATGTTCCCATAGTTTCACATGAAAATTGGTAAATTAGTAGAATGCATATTTGCACAAGGGAATATGAAATTATATTGATTAAAAATACCCCGTTACCTCTCCTGAAGAGTAGCCTTGGAATGCACTCTACAACCAAGAGTCGCCCGGTTGATGCTGCAGGCCTCATCACAGCACAAGGATGGAATCAAGTGGACAGGCCCTAGGAAAGCCAGCAGAGGTGTGAAGCACAATGCTTTTTCCTGGGAATTTTCTCTTTAATACCAGTTCAACATTGCTCTTGAAAATTTAGCTATTCCCCTTTGGGGACTTTTTAGGAAAAGCAGTATGAAGTTTAATTTTTTCTCTTTTTTGTTATCTTAAAAAAATGATGAACCACTTATACGAAGTACCTAGTGGAGTTAAATTCACAGAGACAGAAAGTTGGATGGTTGTTGCCAGGGGCTGGGGGAAGGAGAGCATGAATACAGAGTTTCAGATTGGGATGATGAAAAGGTTCTGGAGATGGATAGTGGTGATGGATGCACAACAATTTGAAGGTACTTAATACCACTGAACTGCACACTTAAAAATGGTTAAAGGGCTGGCCCAGTGGTATAGTGGTTTAGTTCACATGCTCTGCTTTGGCGGCCCGGGGTTTGTGGGTTTGCATTTCAGGTGCAGACCTACACACCGCTCATCAAGTCACGCTGTGACGGCATCCCTTATACAAAGTGGAGGAAGACTGGCACGGATGTTAGCTCAAGGCGAATCTTACTCAAGCAAAAAGAGGAAGATTGGTAACAGATGTTAGCCCAGGGCCAATCTTCCTCAGTAAAAAGAGGAGGATTGGCAACAGATGTTAGCTCAGGTCAATCTTCCTCACCAAAAAAAAAAAAAAAAAAAAAAAGGGTAAAATGGTAAATTTCATGTTATGTATATTTTACCACAAAAAAAATAATGTTGAAGGTAATAATACGATCTGTGAAAGGACATGTGAAATGAGACTCATGTACTGATAATGACAGTAGAAAGAGTACAACATTCTGCTGAGTGGTCCAGCAATATAGAACAAGAACATAAAAATGTTCAAACCCTTTAATTCAATACACACGCACTTTCTTTTTTTTTTTTTTACTGCTAGGAATGTAACTTAAGGAATAACTAGATATGTGCACACAGCTTTACAAACCATTCTGTTCACTGAAGCAGTATATATTTTTGACTACAAAGATAATACAGTTTATTGAAGAAAAACTTTAAAAATAAAGAGAGATTAGATAAGAAATTTAAAAATAAATCTTCCCCAATCCTATAAACTGGAAAGAAACATTGTCAACATTTGGTGAACAGCCTTCCAGACTTCTCTCTCTTTATATATATATATACATACACATATAGCTCTGATTTTATGAAAACCATAAACATACTAAAGCAGACAAATACAAAGACCCACATATAAAGAGGGAGAAAAAGACTTGAAGAAATTATATATTTACATATACATATATATGTTTGCGTGTATCCAGACTTTCATGAGGATTATCCCTTTACTTTTATACACAAGAAAAAATATTATGAAACTAATATTTCCCTTTTTAAAAATGAATGTTAAATATTGAGATGCAATTGCAAACCAGGGTTAAGTAGGATGGACACCCAGCACACCTTTATCCAAATCTCTCTCAAAGCAGGCCCCCATCTTGTCCTGAGTATCTATTACTATGAACATGGGGACTCACCTGGATCCACTGCCAATTAACTCAACAAACATGTGTCATGCTCACTGCAGAATTTTTCAAAATTATTTAAAAGCAAAAGGCACTGCCACTCCTTGTAGAAATGGCTGGTTCTAGGGCTCAAGGAGGGAACGTACAAGATGAGCCTGGAACTTCTTTTTGCAGCAGAAAGTAAGAAAGTGCTAAAAGAATAATGGAGACATGTCAAAATGACACATGAGTCAGCTTGAAGGGACTTCCACTGGCCAAAACTAGGAAAACTGGAGCATCAAAATAAATAATGATAGCAAAGGATCGTAACCCACTGATGGGGTCTGTAACTCCACACTAATTAAAGTAAATAAATCAATGGGGAAGAAGGGGAAGTTCTTTCTTACCACAAGAAGCCAACTAACAAATGTAGAAAGAATGATGGAATCAGAAAACCAGAAATTGTTAGCCATCATCATAATGACTGATTCAGGTAAGAATCATCAGAGGATGCTAAACTACTGGGTGAAAGTTTGGAGAGTAACAGGATATTTACATAGTCTCAAAGAATCTCTCACAAGCTATTTATTAATTACAAAGAGAACAACAATAATTTTACAGCAGAGAAACCTGGTAGACACCACCTTAACAAAGTGACCCAGTTAACCTGACCAGGAATGGGACAGATGGGCAGGCTGTGCCCCATATCAGGAGCACACAACATCACCTCTGCGTATTTCTGAATCTAATCATAACGAAACATCAGACAAACCCAAACTGAGGGTCATTCTACAAAATTACTGGCCTGTGCTTGTAAAAAATATTAATGTCATGAAACAACGAAAGATAGAGGAACTATTCCAGATTAAAAGAGTAAAGAGATTTGACAACTAAATGCAACAGTGTTATCTGGGATTTTCTTTCGCTATAAAGGACATTATCGGGACGATTAAGAAAATCTGAATATGCTCTGTAAATTAGGTAATAGCATTGACTTAATGTTAATTTCCTGATTTTAATAATCATGCTGTTATGTAAGAGAATGTTCTTATACTTAGGAAACAAACACTGAAGTACTAAGGGTAAAGGGACATCATATCTGCAACTGACTTTTAAATGGCAAGTGAAAAAAATATATATATACATATACATCTCTCCACCATACTTGGAGAGAGAAATGATAAAGCAAACATGGAAAGGAGATAAAATGTTAATATTTGGAGAATCTGATTAAAGGGTATGTAGAAATTCTTTGTCCTATTTTTTAAACATTTTTGTAAGTCTGAAATTATGTTATAATAAAAAGTTGAAAAAAAAAAAGGTGCTGCCATTAAGGAGGAAGTGATTTAAACCAAAAGCTGTATTGAACCCCGGGAATCAGCATGGGGGGATTCTCTCCAGTTCTGTTAAAAGGGTGTGCAACAAGGCCATCTATATATTTAATCTTTCTTTTTGGATGGAAGTTAAGATGAGGCAGAGTTTGCACAAAGCTGTATTTTATTACATTTAAAATTTGAGTTCATCTTTCAAGAAATTACTCCTGCTAACTGATTCTAGTGCAGCGTCACGTTATAGGATCTGGGAAACAACGTGCTGGGGACGTTCTGAGGATCACGAAGTCACTGTAGGCAGCTCTCTAAGAATCTATGATCTACGTAGGCAAAGGCAAAAAAATAGATCCACACATACCACCCCAAGTCCAATATTTTATTGTTCCCCCATTCCTAAAATAGAAGGTAGTAATGATCAATAGAAAAATAATTATGTTGAAAACTTCTTATTTCACATATGAAATAATAGATTTAAAAAGTGAATCCTGAAATTTCTTGAAAAGAAAGGCTGGATGGTTCCAAGAGGATAAGTCAAGCTAACTGGGAAACATTTAACTTAAACCACTTAAAACAAAGAATGGTTATAAGAGACAAAACAGTGCTACGAGTATTGCTTCAAAGGTGCTAAGAGATCTGTAGAGTGAGAAGGGGGAGGCAGCGAGGGCAGATTTCTAGGAAGGGCACCCGGCCATGTGGGATTTGACTTTGCAGAGGAGGTGAGGTCACTACAGTGGGGACAGGAGTGGGAACATTAAGTCTAGAAACTTGTGTTGATGAATATACACAAGGGGCAAAGAAAGCTGGTATACCTTTTGCCCGTTTTTGCCCAAGCTAGAGACCAACGCCCATTTGAATGACTTCCCTAAACTTTCCTTTCTGTCAATAATCCCAGAGGCAATTACGGTTTGTGGAAAACCCTGTTACAGAGTTCCCTCCTCCCTCTTCTTTAAGAAATCCAAAAAGACATAAAGACAGACACGTTAACGCTCAGTTTGAATCTACCAGACGAGAAAGGATACCAACTCCTACTCTACAAAAGGTTGATATTATTTTAAATCCATTGACCCAAAGCAATCAAGGCGAATACACTTAAAAAGTTGCCAAAAAATTCTAGGATTTTTATGAGATGCTTATTTTCTTTTGAATATTTAAGAGACTTAAAACGCCCAACCCATTAGGGGACAGCAGAGAAAAATTTAACAAGATTAGCTTGAACTAGAAAACCAAGCAGAGCACACTAGCTGCGGGACAAATAGGAACAATTCTTAGCAGCTTCAGAGGCTGTATTCCTGTTCCCTCACGGACTCGCAGCGGCGGGACTTACCGCAGCGCTGGGCCGGGTCCCGGCGGCACTGACAACAGGCTCTGGGAGCAGAGTCGTTGAGCTGAGGTCTGTCAAAACATGACAGTTCAGAACCGTTGTACTGAATGTCCTGTGCTCTCAGAGACCCTAAAGGAGGGGGCAAGAATTCTGTCAGCGAAGACAATTTCCTCTATAAAGGAGTTCATTAACATCACAAGGCGGACCAGCATCGCTGGAGCTTTTGTATTTTTAAAGAAAAAGAAGGCTATCATTCAATTTTAGAACACTTCTTCTTACACAGAGGCATAAATATGAAATAATATGTCAAGAAAGCGCAAAAAGTAGAGTACTTATGTTGCCAGAACTTAGAACAATTTTTATTTTTGCCTAGTAGCCAGGCAACATCCCTGCCTTTTCAATGTCCCTATAAAGCGGTGCGACCCCTCAGTCGGCTCCCTCAGTGCCTCTCTGAGACTAGCCGACTGTGAGGTCTGTTTTCATGTGCTCTTTGTCCCTTCAACAGCTCCCTGATTTTCTTCTTAGTCAAGTCTCTTGTCGAACACGCGAATGACAATGATGAACAATGCACTTCACCAAAATGCTAAGACACAGAAAGAGCTCAAAACTTACAGCTCGGCTTTTTCTCCATAAACTGCCTCTTACAATAGATGATGCAGAGAATGAGCAGGGCCAGCAGGACGGTGGCCAAGGCGCTGCAGATGACGGCAGCCAGGGCTGTGTCCCTTGGGCTGGAGGCTGTGGACGGAATCTTCACGAGGTTGACCTTGCTGGTACCTGAAAACCACATGGATGGAATCAGCATGCTCCCAGCAACCCAGCAGACAGAAGTGCTCACACAGAAGCTGGCTTTAGCAATGGCCTGCGTGCAATATAAATAAACCCCGAGAAAACCAGTGGGAGGCACTTTAAGATGGCTCACGACTTCCTCCTCTTAGATTTCTTGAATACTACACCTCCACCCTGCACCCCAAAATGTGTGGCTGGGCCCCTCCTCCGTTCCCACAACACCATGGACACACAACCCTCAATATACTGTGTTGTAGGAATGTGCTTTTAGGTCCACTCAACCAGAACTGTTTGTAAGCTGGAATTTGTCATCTTTATCTCTGTCCCCCAGTACTCAGCACAGTGTTTGCCACATAGTAGGTACCTGATATTTGTCAATTAATTGGAATTAGACTTAAACCCGCAAACAGTTAGCCATTGATGATTAAGCAGCTAGTAACAATGGGGGATCGGAATTGGCCACCTCAAAATATGTCTCTGCCTGAAAGACACTTTGACCCCCACCCCCACTAACTGACCAAAAAGGTTTGGGATGGGAGGCCTGCCCCCAGACCAAGCCATCACCATAGACATCTCTGGGTATCTGGGAGGGTTCTTGTTAAGCCCATTCTTAGTTCTGGTTACCCTTTGTAAGAGACATTTACATTTGTAAAGGAAATCTCCATTTGTAAAGTTATCTTCTTCCATGTACCAGGAAGAAGAGGGGGATGGCCTTACCTAGAAACTTATCAGAACTGAAGGCGAGGGCTTAAATCTGCATGATAAACTTATCCATTGTTAACTGTGCTGTTTAGGTAATATGCTGTCTGACTGCCACTAGGTTCCTATAGGTAACATCCCCCTGGAGCCGGGGTCACCATGGTAATGGGTGTTTGAGCTATTTTTTTCAGGAATTGGAAACCCCTTGCCCACTTCAGGCCGGTTGAGACCACCAACCCATCAACTGGGCCCATGCAGACATGTGTCCGATAAGTGACCTTTTGATGGCAAGAGATTGGAACTCCACCCTCAGGGCATGCTGACGCCGCCATTCTGTGAACATGCGTCCTGTGAAGAGGCATGAAGCCTGACTACGTTTGCGCAGATCACCAATCACCTCATCTCTCCTCACCCCCAATCATTTCAGACCACTTTGCTCCCTGCCCCATAAATATCCCTGAGTCTCTATTTTCAGGAGAGTGGATTTGAGATTCACTCTTCCGTTTCCACACTTGGCTGCCTTGTGATTAATAAACCCTTTCTCTCTCTGTGATCTTGTCGTCTCGGTGTTTGGCTTTCCGGGCGGCAGGCAAAAACGGACCTGGTGTGGTAACAAGACTATCCACATTTTTAAGCAGACTGAACTACGGTATGCTTTTTTGGGCAACTTTAGGGAAAAACAAGGAGTTGGATCATTCACAACCTTACAGTAGGCCCCCAATTTCCGATACGGTAAACATTTTTTAATGCCTTAGCTGTTAAATTGCTGAAGAACATCTAAGTTTTGGAGAAAAAACTAATTCTGTTGTTATACTATGGAGAGGCAGGCATAGTAATGTGTTAAGAAAGTGTCAAGAAAAAGATCCCATTTTAGAGGGTGGTATTGCGTCATGGTAAAGAGCAGACATTCTGGAATCCCACTGCCAGGGTCAACCTCTAGAGGTGTGACCTTGAGTCAATGACTTCATCTCTCTGAGTCTCACGCCCACATCTGCTCCAATGGAGATAATAACAGTACCTGTCTCACCCTGCCCTTGAGAGGATGAAATGAGTTATCATACAGGCCCTGCACCCACTGCTACTAAATCGTTAGCTATTGTAATGATGATGATCATAATTAGCACTTTAATTATCTTTAGGGTACTGGGATGAACAAACTAATTTAGATCAGAAATCTGTCTTCAGTGGAGTCACATCACATCCTATTTAACCTCAAAAGAGTTTGAGGGAGATTGAAACCTAAATAGAGGGCAGGTATGCCTTCTTTTCCTGAGTAACTCCCCGTGAGCTGCGGGGGCCCTCATTCTGCTCCTTTCAGTTGCTCTCTGCTCCTCCGCGTGACTGGTTGGTGGGAGCACCCCCTCCGCTGAGGGTTCCTCCGGACCACTGCTGCCTGATAGACGCAGAGCGTGCGCCTCTCATGTAATTTTAAGTGTGTAAAAGCCACATTAAAAAAGGAAAAAGAAACACGTAAAATTAATCTACTTTTCTTAACCCAATATATCTTAAAATATTATTGTTTCAACATGTATTCAATATAAAAATTATTGACTTATTCTGCATTCTTTATTTCGTATAAAAATTTCAAAGTCTGGTGTGATTTCACATTGACAGCACATCTCAATTTGGACTAACCACATTTCAAGTGCCCATTAGCCACATGTGGCTGATGGCTATTGTAATGGACACTGAGACTCTAGAGATGAAATGTTTGTATCGATATTTGTGCAGCATGGCGCCTAAATGCAAGTACCTCATCTGGGACCTTTCTCCTCATCCCTGGCTGCATATCCCGCCCCCCAACTCCGCCCCCATAAGATTGGTTTCCACTCTATGACACTTGAGGCTAGAACCAGAGAGAAATCTTTGGGTTAATATTATTGAATCATAAAACTAGGATACCAGGAACGATCATTTGGGAACACTGAGTCTTGGTATTTTTAGGCCCAGTGATTCTGGGCTACACTGCTAAAGGTTTCATATTGCCACCTGGAGAGGCACACAAGCCATATGCCTGGGGCTTGGATGAACAGGGATCATAATTCACTCATACATTTGAAAGGATATTTGTTTTTAAACATGTTTAATATTCATAAAAAGTATGTTATCACTTATAGCTATACAGATATACTGTAATCATCAAACAGCACATATTAAATGTCCATCATACAGCAATTAAACAAACTACATCCCTGACCTGTATCAGTGGACAAATTCACAGGAGGTATGAACATAGGCACAGCTGTACAAACACTCACAAATAAATAACTGAGGAGGAATTTATATCCCATGCAAGTAAAACAGTAGGCTACATTGATGACCTGGGAAATGTAAGCATTATCTATTTGGACCAAACGGTGAAGTTGTGGAAAACCACCATTTTATGTACGTTTGTGAGAAAGGTGGTTTACTTCAGAGTGAGATCGGGTCCCTTAGCTTCAACTTTCCATCAAATAACCCAGCTCTGTTCAATATAGGGCTTTAGCAAAATTGTCATCAAAATGAGACATAACACAAGATTTGAGTTGAAGATCTCAAAGCTCCTAACTATGCTGTAACTATTAAGTTAAACTCATCAATTAACATAGTATTGGGTATTCAGAAAAAGCCTACTAAGAACAGGGATTTCACGTTAAAGCAGGATCAAGATTTCAGTCATTTAAGTTCTCATTGTTTAAAATCTTTGTAAAATGTATTAGTCAACTTACTTGCCTTCATATAAAAGAAACTGTTTCTAACTTATAAATGAGCCAGAATGCCCCCAAACAGGGATTATATTTCTAATTTGGTGGTTTGTGACTCAGGATTTATTTTCCCTAAGCCAATCACGAAACTCTTGTTAATACGTGTCTTTCCAAGGTAGGGTACCAATACTGTAATTTCAATGATATTGAGTTGCCATAATAACATCAATTTTAAAGGAAAGTACAGCCAAAAAGCCCATTCTCTATACATTTTCCAGGCAGTAGCATCTTAAGATGAACAAGAAAAATACAAAAGTTTTACGTCTCAATTTTTTGTTTTTTTTGGTGAGGAAGATTGGCCTTGAGCTAACATCTGTTGCTGATCTTCCTCTTTTTGCTTGAGGAAGACTGCCCCTGAGCTAACATCTGTGCCCATCTTCCTCTATTTTGTATGTAGGACTCCGCCACAGCATGGCTTAATGAGTGGTGTGTAGGTCCACGCCCAGGTTTCGAACCTGCTAACCCTGGGCCGCTGAAGCAGAGCAGGCAAACTTAACCATTATGGCACTGGGCTGGCCGCTACCTCTCAATTTTTGAAACCTATATAAGAAAAGGTATCTTGTTAACTCAAACACCCCCTCAGAGAGTCCCCATGGGAAGTAGGGCTCTGGAAACCACATTCTTGATTCTTGCTTATATGTACATGTTAATGACAATACTAACAGCAAACATCATCTTTTATAACAAATGGGATCATCATTCTTAGGTTTAATTGTCATAAACAGGGATCTAGATATAAATATAAAAGCTATGGGGGACTGGGCTGACTATTATTGGATTTTAGAACAACCTCAGAAACTCATTCACATAAGTTCCTGAGAAAAGCCTATTTTCTTATAATTCCTTTGATTTGAGCAGTAAAAAAAAAAAAAGGGGTGAGGGGTACTAGCCATAGAAAGTTGCTTCTACCCTATTATGTTCTAGTTAATTGAGATGTTGCTGAGAATTCCTCAGAAAAGGATTTATCTACTACAGACTAACAAGTATTGTTTTGCTGACCTGTGGCTGCAGCAATGATATTGAGATTAAAGATTCTTTCCACTCACATGCCTTGACTAAACTCCCTCTCCATAGTTCACCAAGCATATTGAGTGCCTGCAGGGAATTTTACCTATACCTTATCAGGATTCTGACAGTACTTCTGAAGAACTGGGAACAAGAATATCCACATTCTTTGGAAAGTTGTAATTTTTCTGGAAAACAAAGGCATCTCTTACCTTAATCAGTTAAGTTATTAAATTCCACTATAATCTTAGCACTCCCCTTTGGCAATTACTTCAGAGTGAGAACTGTTTTCTTAGCTTAAAGTTTACATTACATTACATAGGTTCAATTTATATTACACATTTCCTTAGACATTCAGCTCAACTGGACAATTATGTACTGAGTATCTATTATGAATAAGACATCCTACAAGGCATTAAATAAGCTGAATGAGAATCTGAACAGATGAAAACAGAGGTCACCAGCAAAGTCTGGCAAGTGTTTTACAAAGTGTGCCCTCACCCTCCATGAAGCGTGACCGAGGCGCCCAAGTCCCAACTG